AGGCTAGAGACATAGAGACATGCACCTCAGAATTGGAAGGCAGTACATCTGACCCAGCTTCCAGCCCAGTGCTGGAATTCCATGGACGTAACCTTAAATGCTGGTTATCAAGGATTTCTAGAAGTCTTCCAGGGAGCTCCAATCTCCAAGGTAGGGAGAACTTTTATTAGGTGGTTCCTCTAATTAGACAAGTTTTCTGATAGATCAAGACTTAGCAGGCAGTGGAAAGGAGGGCTGGGATGGAAGCCAGACTTACTGTGTGGCATTTGACAAGCCATGTAACCTCTCTGAGCCTCTATCATACTATCTACAAAATAATAGGGCAACCCTAGGGAATTTTCCATAGTTTCAACTCATTCTGATTCAGAGTGGTGAAAGTTGTAATCATAAGAATGAATGAATGGATGGAATCTCTGGAGAAGGGCAGAGTCCAGGGCCTAGTGGTGGAGGTGGGGAGGTGTGTGTGTGTGTGTGTGGGGGGCAGTGTTAATTAGGAGGGAGAGATCTAGAAAAGGAGGAGGCATCTCTATTAGCCAGAGAGAGCCCATAAACTAGGAGAACAGTGTCAAGGCACCAGCTTGCTAGCTAAGAAAGAGAGAGAACGATTCTTGCCTTACTGAATTTTTAGGAATTGGGAGGGAATCTCTGGAATGGATGTGGGCTCAGGAAGAGGCTACAACTCTAGGTGAGATTTAGAAGCCAACAAAAGTTTGATTGAGATGGGAGGAGGTGAGTGAGCATTGGTTTATTAATGTAAAATCTTGAGCTTCATCCAGTTACATTTGTACGGGCATAATTCATAAAAGCTAGAATGAGTTTCAGATAAGCATAGGAGCAGAAAGTCTGATAAGTGAGTACCCTCTTGGTTGCGTTAATAGAGGTACATAGCCCAGCCTGAGGGAGGTGATGTTCTTGTTACAACCATGCCTGTGCTCAGTTTTAGCTGGATTGCTTTAAGAAGGACAGGGGCAGGTTGAACCTGCATAAGGGGTGTGATGAAAGGACTGAGTGACATTTACCTTTGAGGGGGGGAGGGAGGGAAAAGAAGATTTTGGGGGAGTAGTGAGAGCTGCCTTTAAACATCTGAGGGGGAGACAGAGCACCCAAAAGGATGCCCCTCCCTGTCCTTTCTACATCTATTGCAGATAGAGCCGTTTCCGAAGGGTGCTTTGTACTTCAGGGTTCACTTTCTTCGCCTCCCCTTCCTGAACCACCTCTGCTTCTGCCATCCTCCGGGTTACCTGCAACAAGAAGTGTGGTCATCTTGGGGCTGGGCCCTGGGGGTGTTGGTGTAACAGGCTGATGGGGAGAAAATTAAAGAAGAAAGCAAATGGGTATTCCTGCCTTCAGACGGGTGACCTTTATTGTCTCCTCTATGTTATCAGCTCTCTGGAATCATTGGCTGGACATTCTTGTTATGTGTTATTTTCTAATCCACCATAAAATCATATAACCATTAGGAAAAAAAAAAAGTTGGCCTAAACTTTTAACAGAAAATTTTATTTACAGAAATTTATCTGTCTATTATCTAAATTATCTCACATATTGCGGATTTTGGAGTTTCCTGCATTAAGGAAAGTCATTGCTAGGAGAAGGGCATCCTAGTTTCTGTGCTGGGACCTGGGTTGGATTTGGGGCTGGGAATAGGGGAAGGGAAAATGCAGGAAGGTTTGGAAGCGTCTCAGCCCACTCTGCTTTTTCCCTGCTCAGGCTGCGTAGGGATTCCAGGTACCTTGTCCCAACTCACCTCGCTCAGAAGCTCCAGAATGGGTCCTTTCATCTCTGTGAACACATCAACCAAGGTCTGGATGAAGCAGGAGCCTTCTTTGTCATGTCTGTAGGAAAGGTACCCTGGGGATTGCAGAGAAGTGGGCTCAGGAAAACTCCAATGGAGGTGGGACGGTGGGGGTTTGTGTGGTGCAAGAGGGCCCGGAAGAGGGTGGATCCTGGAGGAGTGTCTCAGGGGTCAGGAGCAGTGGGCAGAGTGGGGCAGCAGAGGCCACTTGAGTCAGTTGGGAGCTCATACCCTCCACTGTGGAGTATATGTGGAGGGCGTCCGTATACGTTGGGATGGTTTGGGGCCTGTCTTTTGTGATCATCTCAATGTTGCCTCCACCTACTGTTTCACCAGGGTCCATTTGTTCTGAAACACCAAGAAGAGGAAAAGTCAAAGTCAGAGAGAAAGATGGGGGAAAGGAGAGGGTCATAAGATAAATGAGCAACACAAGACAGCTGGGGCTCTAGATCTGGGATAGGACTGGATCAGGAACACAAACTGTGTTCTTGGCTCTGTCCCCACCTCCTCGACAGGCCTGCACGATGTACACCTTAGGCTTGGCTCTCAGGGCCTGGCAATTCTTGTTATTTAGAACCTCGAACAGGTTCTCCAGCTCGACCATCTGCTCGTCTTCTCCTTCGAGCTGACCTTCTAGCCCATGTGCCATGAGCACCACGAAAGCACAGCTGACGAAGTCTTTCCGGGCATCAATGGCCTGCTGGAATTTGTCCAGTTCTTCCTGGAATTGCTAGAGCAAGAGGAATGGCCAGACTCAGGTGCATCCCTGGAGCCCACCTTCCGGTCCAGCCCTTCCTTCATTGGCTGGGACTGGCTTCACAATACCTGAGCAGTGGGGTCTCTCTTTATGGTACTCTCAAATCCCAGCTGCTGGAACATGCGTTCCAGGGCCACCAGGTCCGCCTCCGAGCCTTCCCGGGCTTTGGTGACACACAGCGTCAGGGCTACGCGGGCACCTGACATGTCATAGGCCTCCTGAGTCAAGAGATGACAAACATCATCAAAGGGGTAGAGAGGTCAAGGAGAAGCAGGAGAGGTGGTCCAAAGAGGGGTTAGGGTAAAATACCAGGTGCCCAGTAACACTCACATTTCAGATTAATACAAAAATGAGATTTTTTAGTGTAAGTAAGTGGAAACTTGGTTCTCAAACTTAATTCGTTTCGGAAGGCTGAGGAGCAATTTGTTTGAAAGCTGAATCATCTTTTACCATTAGAAAATATTCATAGCACAATTTCCTGAGGTGTTAACAACGCGAGGTTCAGTGGTAAACTGACTAAAAACCCACAATCTCTCCTTTGTTTATTGCCTGAGATACCCATGACTGATCATACAGGTATCAGCATGAAAGGGTTGTCTGGTCAGGAACTGAAGTTTTGTTTGACAACCAAGACACATTTTTCCTGTGAACAACCTGTTCAAGAAACAAGTTTTCAAGATGGGAGATGTTTGAGAACCGAGGTTTGACTGTGTGTCCCAAATATTGCATGGGATATACTTATAAGATTATTTGTTGTTGATGTGAGATTCTAATTTGACTGGGCATTCTTTATTTTTTTTAAAATTAAATTTATTAAGTAACATCTATAATAATAAAAGAGTAATATGCTAATTAGACCGGACAGCCAAACGACCTTCTGGACGTAGCCAGGGCTGCAAGGGCTGAGGCAAGCTGCCGCGGCTGCGAGGGTCGAGCCCCTTGCACGAATTTCGTGCATCGGGCCTCTAGTTTGTTAATAACGTTATATAAATTTCAGGTATACAGCATTATAATTCCATATCTGTGTACTATATTGGGTGCTCACTACCAAAAATCTAGTTTGCTTCGAGGGGTCCAGCTCTGTTTTAGTCCTGTATGAACTTGGGAAAGTCACTCCTCCTATCTGAGCCTCAGTTTCCAAATACAATGAGTGTGTGTGCGTGAAGGATTTTGAAGGTTCCTCCCAGTTGTCACACTTGGTGGCTTTGTCCCTTCATCCTTTTCATGTGTGCTCTGATATTACTTTCTCATTTTCAGAGGTCTCCACATTTCTGAAGCTAATCCTGAGATCCTATCTTATCCCATCTTAGGAAGAAGGATGTTTGGGTCAACATTTCTTTGCAGAAGAGAAGCATGATACTTTGAGAGAGATGTAGTAGGGCTCCTCCCCCATCTCTGACTTGGGTTCCACCTCTGAGTCTTTTTCTCCATCTGAATGATTACAAAGCACCTTCTAGCTCTGAATTCAGGTCATGATTTCTCATCCTCTCCAGCGTCTCTGAAACATTAATCTCTTCACCTCCCCTCTCCTCAGAGGCTCCCACCCTTCTCCCCAAACCTGCACCCATCACACCTCTTCCAAAGGCCGAGGATTGCTCATGTCTCCTCTGATTCTGAGTCCGGTTCTCAGCACCCTTGACTGATCCTGGGGGTTCAAGAGAAGAGAGTTTGAAGGTCTTCAAAGGAAGGCAGATGGAATCAGGGTACAGGCTAGTTTGTACATCTGGATTTTTGAGACTGAATAGGACCCCACTGGTGGGGACTTGTTTCATGGTCAAATCTGAGCAAGAGACGACAGTCCATGAAGTATGTCCTCTCTACTGGGACACTCCAGTGGTGTTTTCCACCCCTGGATGTTTCAGAACTCTTGCTAGGCCCACCCGTAATGCCACTTACATGGACATTTTCCTATCTCTCCCCCAGGACACTCACAAGCCTGTGACAGATTGCACTCATTACTGGACTGATGAGCAGGACAAGTGGCCTGTGTATTCCCCTTTGCCACCCAGGAGCCGACTGGTTGAAGAGGCATCAACAAGGAGATGGGTTGGGTTTAAAATGAGAAAATCATCAAAGTGGGGAATACTACTTTGAAACACTGCCTCCCTCTGCCTTGAGCCTGAACCTTTAAGATCTTCATTCTCATCTGATCCCAGTTCTGTTTTCTGGCTGAATAGAATGACTTTTGCCATATTCTTGGTGTTTCCCCATCTCCTTGCCTTTCCTTACACTTCTTCCTCAGCCTGGAATGCGTCATTACTAGTCAAGGCCCTTCTCTGCCAATTTGGGTAGACATCATGTCTGTCGTGTCTTTCCCCACCACCTACTCATCTATCTGCGTATCCATCTATTTATCTATCATTTGATCAGTTGATTGACTCGTCCATCCACTCAGTTATCCACCCAATCACCCATATATCTATCTATCCAGCAAATGTTTCCTGGGTATCTATTATGAACTACACAGAACACACTATATAAGACAGACATGCCCCCTGCCCGCATGTAGCTCTAGTCTACGACATAAATGAACATTAAATCTTTCTCACTCTTTCTCTCTTACACACACACACACACACACACACACACACACACACACAATGGAACCAGTGCTGTAAGGAAAGAGAAGCCAAATACTACAAGGGAGAGAAAGTAGGACAGAAGGAGCATGGATCCTGGAGCCAGATAAACCAAAATCAAGTTCTGCCTTGGCTCCTTCCCAGCTGTGTGACCTTGAGTATCTCACTCTCCTCTCTGAGACTCAGTTTTCCCATCGGAAAGAACCTTGAAAGAGCACTAGATGCTTTACGGTCAGAGCAAGCAAGGTAGGTTTAATGGTCCCTGTTAAGCCACTGAAAGTTGCCTCTGCCTTTTCCGGACTCCACAGCTCTGCCTGTTTAGACTTGCATTACAGCAGTGCTTTTTGTTTTTATTTTTGTGGCCGAGCTGACAGCTCAGCTTTTAGCACTTGAAAGCCTGACTTCTTTATCTCCATCTCCATCAGAGTCACTGGTGCAGGAATAGGCACAGAGGAGGTGCTGGGGAGAATTTGTTGAGCAAACAAATAATAAACAAATAAACAAATGAAAGAAAGGATGGATGGATGAATAGGTGAAGAACTGGCCAGAATATGCATTCATTCAGTGAGAGGGAAAGAGAGAGAGAGAGAGAGAGAGAGCGAGAGAGAGAGAGAGAGAGAGAGAGAGCAATATCTGCCAAATCACTTACTGACTCTAGAAGTAGCTGCTCCTTAAAGCCAGGTTGTCTCACCACTCTCTTAGTTGCCAACAAGACTGGGCACCAAAGAGTAGTCAGGTCCACGTGCTGACCTCAGAGAGGGAGCTGATAGTGCAGAATCTTCCCAGGTTTCTCTGGAGGGGCCTGTCTGTAAATTGAGCAGCACAGCTGTCTGGGTCTTTATTGCCCCTAAGTTTTCTGTCACTCAAGAAACATCATGACACAAGGGATACACCCTTGATGAAGAAATGGACACAAACGCCCACAGATTGAGTGATGGCAAAGCTCAGCCAACACCCCTGGCTAAGGAGGCTGAGGTAGAGCACCCACACCACCTAGGGCTTTTACACCAGTCCCGTCCCCCTCAAGAACGGCTCCTTCCCCCCCACCCCCACCCTGGTCCAGCTCATCTGGCTATTATCAACCCATCATTTCCATCACCATGCCCACTTTCACCTCTTCCACATTCAACAGTGCAGATAATACCAACTTCACCTGTTTATTCTCTCATCGAGTATTCAACAACCCGAAGAGACCAGCATTGTTTGCTCCCATTTTTCAGAAAAGATAACTGAGACTCATAGAGGTAAAATGACTGCCTAAGGTCACTCGACCAGTAATTAGCACAGTTGGCATTCAAACCCAGGAAGGTCCAATGGCCTCAACTGATACTTCACAGCTGATTCAGCTTCTCTCTTCTCTTTCTCATGACCTTCCTCCTCTATTCTTTTTCAGCCTTTATTTTATTTCACTTCATTTTATTTTAATAGCTTTAAAAAAAATTCACGTATCTTACAACTCACTCATTTGAAGTGTACAATTCAATGTGTGTGTGCGTATGTGTGTGTGCTTACTATAATCACAGTAGTGCAACCACCACCACGGTCAATTTTAGAACCTTTTCATTACTACAAAAAGAAACCCTGGCCCTTTAAAAATGTCCCCCAATCGCCATCCAAATCTCTCAGCCCCTGGCAACCATTAATCTATATTCAATCTATATTCTGTCTCTATAGATTTCCCTGTTATAGACATTTCACATGAATAGAATCATATAATCGTGGTCTTAAGTGTTTGAGTTATTTCAGCATAATATTTTTTTAAAATATATTTTATTGATTTTTTACAGAGAGGAAGGGAGAGAGACAGAGAGTCAGAAACATCGATGAGAGAGAAACATCGATCAGCTGCCTCCTGCACATCCCCCACTGGGGATGTACCCGCAACCCAGGTACATGCCCTTGACCGGAATCAAACCTGGGACCCTTCAGTCCGCAGGCCGACGCTCTATCCACTGAGCCAAACCGGTGTTGGCACAGCATAATATTTTTAAGGTTCATCCATGTTGTAGCCTGTATCAGTATGTCATCCCTTTATGGATAAATAATATTCTGTGTAGATATATCTCATTTTGTTTATTTATCCATCCTTATATAGATATTTGGATTGTTTCCAACTTTTGGCTATTATGAATGATGTTGCTATAAACATTAGCATATAAGTCTTTGTGTGGATGTATCTTTTCATTTCTCTTGGGCTTCTATGTAGAAGTGAAATATTCAGCAAAACTGGAACATTCCCATAAAATGCTGCAGCCACTGTGAAAAACAGTAAAGATGATTCCTCAAAAAATTAAACACAGAATTACTATTTGATAAAACAATTCCATTTCTGGGTTTATATGATACCCCCCAACACTGAAAGCAAATATTGAAAATATTTTTGTGCATTCATATTCATGGCAGCTCATTATTCATAATGGTCAAAAGGTAGAAGCAACCCAAGTGTCCACTGACAGATGAGTGGACAGAAAAGTGTGGTCCATCCATGAATATTACTCAGCCTTAGAAAGAAAGGACATTCTGACACTTAATATGTGGGGAGCCGATATAGGGTTAAGCTTCAGACTGACCTGTTGGCAAAGTCACAAACAGGTCTCCCGAGTCTTAAACAACCCAATCCGAGAGGTGGCCGCTGATTTACACGCGATATCATTTAAAAAATAAAAAAGGGGGAATTTGCCGGAAGCCAGTCCATCCTTGCTGCTTGACACAGTCGCTGCAGGGAAGAAACATCTGCACAGCATATGTTTCACGGGACCTGGGGTATATGGCATACTGTTCTTAATATGTTTGCTCCCCTTCTTAGCGCTATGTGTTTTAACCAAGGTCACCTCTCCGGGAAAGGTTGTTTCCCCAGGTGGGGATTTTTCCCTGGAGTTAGGGATTAACAGGACTAAGGAAGGGAATCAGTAAAACCCCTTAACTAAGTGCCAGGCGAGTAGTTAATCACTTTAACTACGAACAATCATGCTTAAGCTACATAATCTTTACTTAGGATAATCTCCTTCAGTTACTTCCTTGTAGCTTAACAGAACAATAGAGTAGTGGCCTTGGAAGATAACAAATGCCCTAACCTTTGGAATAGAATGGATAGGATTAAAATCAAATGGTATAAATACAGATGTAACAGGAGAATAAAGGAAGAACCTCGCTATGCTGATCAACTGAACGCTGTCTCCATGTCATTCCTTCTTCGCCGACTCCATCCACACCTTTGGGAACCCCTGGACCTGTTGGGGCTGTAATACAACACAGATGACCCTTGAGGACATTATGCTAAGTGAAAGAAGCCAGACACATAAGGACATATATTGTCTGATTCCACTTATATGAGGTCTCTAGACAAGTCAAATTCATAGAGAGAAAAAGTAGAATGTTGAGTGCTAGGGATTGGGGGAGGGGGTGGGGAGTTACTGTTCCATGGGGACAGAGTTTCAGTTTTGCAAGATAAAAAAGTTAGGTAGGTGGACAGTGGTGATGGTTATACAATAATGTGAACGTACTTCATGCCACTGAACTGTAAACTTAAAAATGGTAAAAATGGTAACTTTTATATTATGTCTATTTTACCACAATAACAAACAAACAGAAAAATCTGGGACATTGTCATCCCCCCAAGTCTTCCTTTTGTTTCAAGGTAACTCAGGCACCGGACGGGGCAGTTTCTCCCCAAATCCGCATCTCTGCATCGACTTACACATGAATAGCTGTTGGTTACTTGGCACCTGGCATGGCTCATAAATGCCTGGTGTTGTCAGAATTGACACTTGTGTTCCCTAACCCTATGGGTATAAACTGGGAATAACACTACCTCCGCCATTACAACTATAGTATGGAAACATCTAACATAAGTTTTGGGTGTGGAAGGTTGCTCAAGAATAGATGCTGAAGAAATCTTAGTGGGGCATGAACCAGAATGGTAAGGAGAAAAGAATGATTCACCATGGATGGGAACAACTGTAAGTTAATTAATCAACTAATTAAATTGATAAATTATATCGATTATTACTAATTTAATAGATGCCTACTTTTATTACTTGATGAAATTTGAGTGTTTTATTTTCTTATAGTGAACTATCTTCATGGAGCTCTCATGGGGGATCCAGATAGCCCTTAGAGGTTAAGGTGACCAGTGCTGAGGTAAGGGTACAGGGGGCTCTGGGATCCTAGGGGATACCCTTGACCTGGCTCAGCACAGAAAGCAGAATGGACTATGTTCCCATTGTGGCTTGGCTGCAGGTTGATCATGAACTGTTCTAAGCCAAAATTGCCTTACCTGTTAAAACCTATTTTGAGAACTGTTCTGAGGATAAAACAAAATGATTACTGTGAGGTGACCTCACATCATCTGACCATTGGACAGGCTCTGGGTGAGACCATGTTTTTGGAGCTGTGGACACATGGTCTTCATGAAAACAGGTATCAGGGCAGTGTTTCTCTTCTATGGCTGCACGATGCAATTACTTGGGGGGATCTTAAAAATACAGATGCCTGGTTCCTCCTCCAGAAGATTCTGATTTAAGTTATCAAGGTGGGGTCCTGACAGTGGTATTTTATTTTATTTTATTTTAAAAAAAATATATTTTATTGGTTTTTTACAGAGAGGAAGGGAGAGGGATAGAGAGCTAGAAACATCAATGAGAGAGAAACATCGATCAGCTGCCTCCTGCACACCTCCCACTGGAGATGTGCCCACAACCAAGGTACATGCCCCTGACCAGAATTGAACCTGAGACCCTTCAGTCCACAGGCCAACGCTCCATTCACTGAGCCAAACCGGCCAGGGCGACAGTGGTATTTTAAAAAAAGGAACCCAGGTGAATTGAATGTGTTGCAAGGTATAATACCATTGGTTTTATGAGAAGGGACAGAGAGAAACTGAATAAATAAGATAATTCAGATGGTGACACATGTTTACAATGGAAATAGACAAGATGAGGTGATGGAGAATGACTAGGATGGTTGGGGTGGGTCTTGGGGGAGATTGCACTCAAACTAAGTCTTGGGAAGTGTAGGTGCTTACTTTACAGGGCTGCTTCTTCTTTCCTTTATACTACTGGTTCTCCAACTTGGCTGCACATTGGAATCACTGAGGGAGTTTTAAAAAATTAATGCCTGGCTCCCATCACTAGATATCTGATTTAGTTGGGGCTGAGGCCATTCATAACATATATTTACCCTTGAAGCCATTACTCTAGGTTCATTCTGTCTATAGATTGGCCTATTCTTATTCACAATAACCAAATGTGGAAGCACCCAGATGTGCACCAATGGGTAAGTGCATAAACAAAATGTAGTCTATCCATGTAATGGGATATTATCCTATACAATAAAAAGCTAATATGCAAATAGACCAAATGGCAGACCATCTGAACAACCGGCCGCTATGATGTCAGCTGACCACCAGGGGTGTGTGCGGAACATGGCGGGTGTTGGCCGCGGCGGGATGGTGGAGCAGGTGAGCGAGGGTGCCAGACCAAGGCTCTGCACCTTCAGCGGGTGCGAGTGGGGCCAGCGCCATCAGCACATGGGAGCAGCGGTGGGAGCAGGGCTGCTGGCAGACAGGGGGCTGGGGGCCGAGGTGGGAGGGGCCGGGCGGGGGTGCGGAGGATGGGCAGAGACCCGCCCCTGTGCCTACCGCAGCCTCGCAGCCCACAGTTCCTTACAAGGTGCACAAATTTGTGTATTGGGCTCCTAGTTCAAAATATTAAAAAAAATGAAGCTCTGATATATGCTACACTATTTTTTTTTTAAAATCCTCACCCAAGGATATTTTCCCACTAATTTTAGAGAGTGGAAGAGAAAGGGAAAGACAAAGAGAAACATCGATGTGAGAGAAACACATCGATTGGTTGCCTCCTGCATGAGCCCTGACCAGGGTCCGGGCAGAGGAGGAGCCT